ACTCGTAGTCGACCACCTCCACATCCCCAACGAGGTCACTTGTCACCGTAAGCGTGCGCGGAGCGCGATGCTCGGGGCCATCGAGCCTAGGATTTACATCCCTCGATGCCGCGGAGACACGGTCCGACATGGCACCGTGTGCGGGAGTTAAAGCTGGGCTCTGCCTGTGAGCGCTGTCGGAACCAGCGAGACTTCGGTGTCATTAACACAGGGCTCATTGAGCACGAAAGTCACTATATTCCATCGCAGTGCCTCACGGGCACGCAAGCCTTGTTGAGGCAATAATCGATTGTAACTGTAAATGTTCTTAATCTTAATGGGGGAGAGTGTAACGGGGTTACACATACCCTGGTAACAGGGGTGTGTCATACCAGATGGGCATGGTGTGACCAAACCCAAACAAGAATACGAAACGGGGCTGGGTGGCCAGTAGTCATGCATGTATGTCGATTTTTCTGAACATATTTAGAAAAATCTTTGCATTTAAAATTAGGCGGCTTTACCGCAGATTGAAATAAATAATGACAGTATTGAATTCGGATCGAAAAGTTAATCAGCCTTGAGTTCAGGCTAAAATTACTCTTGGAGTAAGCGGATTGCTATCCGCTATACTCGTACTTGTTCTGAGTATAAAACGAAAGATCGGTGACCTTACTTACGCTTCCTCAAAGCTTAACAAGGTGAAATGATTCTTCGTGCCATCAGATCCTAGCCACATCTACTTGCAGCTGACAGTCACCACGTATGGATCTTCACAAGCAACACAATATTGGTACTTTGAAGGTGATAGGACCTCATTTTGAAGAGATCTGTGGTGCAAGTGGAATGTTAGCCTCGGGTCAAGCAATAAGAAGTTTATTATTTTAAATAGCAACACGTTTATATCTAGTTTTTCTTGTATAGCATCCACCCCAAGTACATGTCACACTTTCCGCACGAGTGCAGCGTGCAAGAACAGTATCTGTGCGTTTGCTATTGCGATATATCTAGGTCAAGCTTTCTCTGTGCAAGGTGCGCAACAACCTTGTTGCACTTGGTAGCACCGAGTTGACCTTACAACCGAGCCATACAAGGACAGTAATCTCTGGGAGGACGAGAAAGAAGTTGCTCGATTTCCTGTCGTGAAGACAACTTGACGTGCTTGGAATCGTTGGTCCCGATGTGGCTGAAGACTTGCAACTTTATGGCCAGATGCGGTAATCGCATATATGGACGCACTTATCGGTGATGAGAATGCGTTTGTAAGACGCCTCCAGGAGTGTTTTATCCGGCCGCCGGTAAGAGCAACGATGATACCTGATCTGAGTGCAGCGGAGCTGTCGTAGCTCTATCGCTTAGAAGCTGCATGATTAAGGTCGGTGACCTTCGCTCTATGATTAGAGCCAGTTCGAGTGTTGCGGATCGCAATCCACTTGATCCAAGAGTAATTACAACCTTAACCCAAGGCTAATAAATTCTTTCGTTTAGAACGATAACTGTATTTCTCGGTTTTATTTGCGGCAAAGCCGCCTATATCTAAATCTATGGGTTCTCCTATCTATATAATATAACCTAATTAGATGTATAACTACTGGCAGTCCAACCACTGAATGAGATCTTGTTAACGTGTAGCCATACCATTGTGTGATCACACCATTTTGTCTGACCCACACCATTCATACCAAGGCACGTAAAACCCCGTTACACTGAGGCTACAAAAGTTGAGCGTCCAGCCATTCAACAGAAACAGAGAAATTTGCTTTCTTGCAATATTAGAGTTAATATAACCACTTTCATGGTCTACAAACTAGGAGCTGCGCACGAGAATAAAACTATTGTGGAGTAAATCTGTGAAAGCGTTATCTCAGCTAGGCAGATTTGAAGCAACATACGTCGCGGATATTTGCACCGCCATATAGGCATATCAGATGTGACTCAATTTTGTGGCCACACGACGAATGAGATGGGAACTAGAAGATAATGACTAGGAACATCATAAGTTGTATCACTGCTATGGTGTCAAGCCCTCTTCGGAGGTGGTGACAATTACCGTCTTCTTGGGGTCTCGTATAAGTGTAGTCTACACCAAAACATTTCACGTCCCCCCTACCTCCTTCAATTATGGTTAAGTGTTGTATTCAATGCAAGTATAAATCCCTATCGGTAGAGTCGGTTGAATATAGCAATTTGAGCGTGTCAGAGACAATGGGCCTCGGTTATGATGAGCAGGACAAAAAGGTCGCTTGGCTGCCAAAATGTCCGTGGTACTTGAAGGTTTGTCTGTGATAGGGCAAAAATACTTACGCCTGTATGCTGGCTTCTCTTTCTGCTGACAGAAATGAAAATTAGGGCTTTCATGCGGAGGTGGTCCAAAAAATCCCTTGTGAAAAAATTTGGGCCCCTGTAGACCAGGGAAGACTACTGAAAATGGATGTATCTTATCGCGCCTCGTTGGGGTCGATGAGAAGCAGCCCTCAAATAAGTGATTATTTCGATAAGGGTGAAACCCGCAGTTCAAGGTTGTCGGTGATTTTACCAACGTCATAACACTGATGAATCAATAAAGAAGTATCGATTCAAGAGGGTTGTGTAATTACGAACGACGCACGGCTGTTGGAAACAGTAGCACGCGATATCAATAAAGATGCCGGATTCGGATATAGTATTCGTGCGTGAGGGACATGTCGAATGTTCACCAGAGCTTTTACTCGTGCCTGGTAAGGTGGATGGTACTCAGAAGTCCATCGTGGTTTGAGTGCAAAATCCATTTCACCGTTGATATGACCTGGCGCTAATCTCGG